CAATTAAGTGCGTTAAGTCTCTTTTCCTTATCCGACGTTTAAAAGTACTCACACTATCCATACCACGTTCCTCCTTTGTCAACTTTGACCACAAAAAAGACCCAAGATATTTCAGAGAATGTTTCCCGTACTTAATAGTACGTGAGTCGTCTCGTGAGTCCACAACATTTTGACCACTGTCATGACGCATACTCGTTGTCGATAAGAGTACAGACAACGCTAAACCACATTCGATTTGTTAAGTGAGAAATATTTAACAGATAGATTCCATGTTGCCGTGCGTCATGTCCAGTATTAATTAGTATGAATCTAATAGCGTTTAATCACAAACGCCGTTCTATGATTTGCTACGCTAATCACTAGCTATTTTGTTGTAGATACTGAGTAGCCCAACAGTGTGCGCTTGTTAAACTGACGGCCGCTTCTTTGCATTTTCGAAGTGTCTGGTTTTGAAGTGGATTTAGATAAAGTTTTGAACGACTAGTAGATTTATACTTAAACGATTTGATTTTTTGCTCTCGATTTCTATGCGTGATAGAACTCTCGAGCTCATAATCTAATTGTTTTTTTCGTAACCCAAACCCCAATGTACATTACTTATTAACGCCAGGTGTTACTTACTTTCATTAGGAAAACGAATAAAATAAAGTAATTAATTAATTCTGACAACACACATCAGCTACAATTAAATAAAACAGGATAAAAAACAAGAATGAAAAAAATGAGAAAGAAAAAATAAAAGAAAAGGAAAACTTAAATATACGAAACAATCAAGAAAGTAAACAAAGAACTAATAGCGGGGGCAAGTGGGAGGAGGAATGATTTCTAATCTTGATTTAATACAATTAAAAGTAACTTAGTCTGTTAAGTTGGTGAGGAGAATAGTCATGTTACCAGTAGTTTATAGCTGTTAATTTACAAATTTTCAACTTTGTGTTTATAATTGATTCGGTTGGTACAACTGAACTGTTGTTTAGTTTACTTACATACACATAGAATTTCATGAACAGGAGGGTGTAATTGAATTTTCTCACTAGCGAAAAGCATTTCTTTTGTATCTGGTTGAAAGTTCGAACCGTTCTGAGTGTTAACCAATTAATGACTTTGCTTGTGAAGGTTTTTGTAAATTCGCAATCGATAAAGGTGTGATTTATGGAGTCTGGCTCACCACAGTAAATGCAGTCACTGTCTGTATTTATCCCATATCTGAAGAGTTCTTTCTTTGTAATGACAATCTTATGAATAAATTTGAATTGAAATTCTTTCTACTTATTTTCTTTGCATGTTTTTGGAGCCATTTTAAAAACATCTGTCCAATTCTCTGTGCATGATTCTATCAAAATATCTCGTTTCCATCTTTCCGGGCCAGTATGAGGTGATTGGTGTTTCTTAACGAGAAGTAGCCGATAACAGTCTCTCGCCCAATTGATTTGACTAGTTTCGTTCAGTAAAAAAGATTTCCAGTTTTCTCTGTAATTAAAGATCCAATTTTGCCCTGGGACTCGCGCTCTGTTCTTCAAGCGCACAGGAAGTGCACTCATTATCTAATTGTTATATATATCACAGATGCATTGAAATGTGGTAGGAACAAAAACGTTACACCTGGCGTTACACACGAGCCCTTAGGAAAATGTGTCTCTGATGTTCTTACCACATTTTGACATCATCGATCTGTGATCTCTAACTGAAAAGACGTACGGCAACATGGAATCTACTGTGTATTATAGTAAATAAACCAAAACCCAGAAATTGTGAATGACTTCTTAGATTCCCTCCGAAGGGCGTCCCACGATAAAAACGACGAGGGTGCTCGTCCTCGTCCTGTCCTCCAATAGATCGTAAGTACTAACCAGTTAAAATGCGAGAATGATTTGAATTATTGTATAAAATTAATTTTGCCACGATAATGGCATTCTCTGCTCAGGTCTTTATTAGTCAAAACTTCGCAGGGGCCTCTTGGTGATGGAACGTGATGGAACGTGATGGAACGTGATGGAACGTGATGGTATTATCGTTTTTTATTTTTTTTATTGTGACACGATCAGCCCATACCATGCCAGTCACTTAACCGAGCCGTAATCCTAATCATGGTATCTATTTTCCTGTTGTCTATAAAGTACAGTAATTTGATTGGCTCGTTACCGCAGACCCCCCGCAATATATATTGTTGTAGGCAAGAAAGTATACCCTCATTTTTCACCTCAAGTCACAGTGTCGACATCAGTTTTTTCCCCGAGTTCAAGATGGTCGCAGGAAGCTTCTTCAAGATTGTTACTCTGATAGTCCTCTTTCGAGCTGCACGCCCTACAAGTGCTGCAAGCACATCCCCGTCTGCGTGTCCCTGTCGTCCAGTCATTAATGTTTCTGTGGATGGCGTCGGTCAGTGCGACTTGTGCGATGGAAACAGCCAGTTGTTACAGGAAGTGAACGATTTGAAGAAAGAACTCGCCTCGATAAAGAATCAAATCAGTCAGATTCAGCCAGGTTAGTATGAGTCCATGTATCGATTGCATCGCCACGAACAGCCAGTTTGTTAATGAGTTTTTTAATGCTTTCACACAGGAACTGCAAACCCTAGAGCTATTACATCATTGTCCATCATGCCTCGTTATTATTGAATGTCTTTTTTATTCTGAGAAGACGTAAGAAGTTTAACATGCCTGCACGAACAAGTTCGACCTCAATTCAGACCCTACGTGTAATATACCTGGCAGTTGTCACAGAGCAGTTTTTTTTTTTGTCCCAATGTCAACTTTCAAGGGCTTATAGGGTCAACGATGCTTATTGTAAATGTGTGGCAGGGAGATAAGTTAAGATTGTTTTTGAAAATGACTTCACAAAAGTGTCAAGAAGAACTCGTGGATCGAATGATGATATGAGGCTCCATCTACTAAATGTTGACACGTCACTGAAGTTTTCAGCTTTCTTAGCCTGTTCCACGCTTTCGGTTAAAAGGAAAGACGCGAAAAAGCGCAGGGCGGGTGAACAAAGAGGAAAGAAAGGGATAGCCTCGAACAGGAGACAGGTCTTTGCAGGTCTTTGTGAGCTACTTCTGTTCGTAGTTGCCTCAAGTTCCCTTGGTTGCTATTCATTACTTTTATATTTTAATCTTCTTTCTTCGCATCTAGCATTGAATTAGATGCTTTTTAACATGCTAAGTTCAAAGCCGACGTCACGACTGCATTAGGGAGCTTAAGAAGCCACGACGGCGACGCCGAGGACAACGACGATTAAAAAATGATTTTATATCTTACCAACGAATCTGGCGATACCCTAGAGTGATTAACTTTGTTTATCATTGTCAAAACTATCACGAAACTGAATCTAGGACACATCGATAAATTCGAAACAGAAATTTAAAAATAGCCTTCGAGGTTCACGTTCTCCAGACAACGCGAAATTTGGTCATTTCACGTTGTTGTTTCGCAGAGGACGGCAAAGAAATGTACCAAGAATTACAACGCACGTGCACAGCCATTGTTCTGCTCATTAAACCTTTCGTTTAGCGACGTTTCCGTTGCCGTTGCCGTCGTGGTTTTCTTAAGCTCCCTAATTGTCTAACTGTAGGTGATATGCTCCCCAGCCTTTGAAAGTTGCAACGTTTCTTTAACGAAATGCAATTCTCGAATTCACAGGCAAGACGGGAAACTCGCCCAAGTCGGGTTTCCGTCAGTGACTAGTTTCCCATTCTACTGTGAAAACGGAACGGAGGGAAACTCGCCCAAATTTTGTCCGTCTACATGTCCATCAGAGTCGACGGACGAGTTTTAGCTCCTGCCAGACCCGTAGAAATCTGTCACGAATTCACGCTTAAACGGTTTGTTTTCTGGGATAACAAAATGGCGCCTAAATGACCTCTTATACGGTCTTATACGTCCTTATATAAATTTATGACGGTACGATTCAGTTGTCACCCTGCAGTATGAATACGGCTAATCCACAGCGCTAATTAGGGTTAACTTCGGTTTCCTTTGTTATGTTCCATTACAGGCTTACCATTCGACCTTTATTTTACTAAAAGCGGGACAAGTGACTATGTCATCCACCATGGCTTGCAAGTCACGAACGCGTTTACCGTGTGCTTACGAGTGCGTACAACGGACAAGACGGGAGATCACCGGACGGTCGTGAGTTACAGCACGAACTCGAACTTCAATGAAGTTCTAATAAACAGGATGTCTCAAATTCAACTAGTGATCATTGATGACTCAAGGTAACACTTTGGAAAAAGAGCAGAATCGTGGGATAAGCGGAGACTATTTAAAGAGTATACTTTGCGTTTCTGTCTTAATAGTGCTAACTGAACACTAATAGAGTTTTTGTACATTAAAAAATACGACGTATTCAGTAATTACAAATACTATAGTATATTGACGAGTTTCGATCGAGGCTTGCTTGAGGTTGCTTTCACACTATGGACACGTGTAGATGACTTGGTTTAGCAAGTGTCAATTTATTTAATTACGCCTGGTTCACATTTGCCGCATGACGAAATAACCATAGCGACATACTAAGAACGTTGTTTCGTTATGTTTGCAGCGTGAACATGCTGACATAATGACGTTTAGCAACAAAACAGAATGAAGATAACGACATAAGGAAAAAAAATGATCTTTTCCTTATGTCGTTATAATGTATGTGTATTTCTGTTAAAACAAGTGTGAACAACATTGACATAACATAACCGTGAAGAACCAGTAGCAATTCCAACAATTGTCTCTTCCTCCATTTTTCAGTTGTCTTCCTTTTATCTAGTCCCATGTCTTTATGTCGATATTTACATTGCCGTTATAAGCGATTATGTCGTTTCGTCATTATGCCGTTATGTCGTTAGTGTGAACCAGACCTTACTGGAGAACACTTACCTTCGGTAACGCACGTATGCTTTATACATGTAATTTTATTACCCAATCAAAAAATCGGTATTTCTTAAAACGGTAACCTTCATCCTTTCTCTTTACTCCTTAGGATCAGTGGAATATCAGCAAATGATGGCTTCTGGCATCACATATGTGTTTCATGGGAAAACAAAGTTGGCTCCTGGAAGATTTACAAAGATGGCGTCTCCCAAGCCAGTGGGTCTGGATTTAAAACCGGTCACGTGATCAACACAAATGGAATCCTCGTCATCGGGCAGGACCAAGATTCGTTTGGAGGAGGATTTCTCGCTAGCCAAAGCTACATTGGAGAACTCACTGATCTGAACGTGTGGAACAGGGTCCTTACTGCAAATGAAATACTCAAGCTGTCCAGGTCATGTCACGGGGGAAGGGGTAATGTCAAGAAATGGTCTGATTTTAAAGTTGGACTTAGAGGTGATGTGAGAGTTATTTCTCCATCTGCTTGCGAAATATGAAATGCTTCATACTTAAACGTCATTTCTAACTACTTCTTAGGACGTCAAATCAAATCAGAGTAGATGTTAGGTTTCGCTTTGCCATGAGGTACAGTAATCTCGATTTGGCACTAACGGGGTTTTAGAGTACACAGTATTAGGTTTTTATGTATGCACTTGTCGTCAGTTATAGGATAAGTGAAATGCCTACATTTGCAGTGATTGTAGTCTGCTGGCAGCTGGTTTTTTCTCTAAGGGTCACCAGGACGAGTGTTTAGTCATCGCGAACGCAAAAGGGCGGTATGGTGGTGGCCGAGTAGGGAAGAAGGCGGGACAAGGGCGGTATGGCCGAGTAGCCATGTCTCGTCCCATTCCTCTTTAGGCTGTTCTTATGTACAGTTGATGTGATGTCTTCCAAGATTTTATCAACTTAATAAATGTAGATGTAGATAGTGATAGCGCCATCATTTACATTTGTTGGCATTTAAAGTAGACAGTGTTACGCAGGGATGGGAGGGCTTACAGCGAGCACCAGAGGCGCTAACTTTCCTTATGGGTTTATAATTATTATTCTACGTATTTTTAGCTTGAAATTGTGGTAAAGCTCCCCCAGCCCCCCCCCGGTTTCGCCGTCCCTGTTATGTAAAGGATGTATGATACAGCGGGTTGGGCACGGGATTTTTTTTTTACCGGAAGCGACTATTCATTTAATATGACGGGGAGAAGGTGGTGGAAATGGGGTTGTAATGGGCTTGGGGGTCATCCGTTTACATGTTTTAAGAGCTGACTTTGCGTGTATGACTCTGAAATAAATGTAAAAGTGTGTTTTGACAGTTCTCTTTATTCTGTCTCTTCTCAAACTCCGGCAGTCTCTATCACGTTAGTCTGTCCACCGACCATCGATTTTGTCTGAGTTCGTCCAGATCGCAAGCAAAAGTAGCAACTGCAGGGGATTTGAAAGGCCCGCACGCAAGGGGACGGCATATGTGGTAAGCACCTTTTAGGGGTTTGCCAAATGTATTTAGCGTCACCTTTCGGAATTTGAAGTAGCGATTTAAAAAAAAATTCCAGGATGGGATTGCCCTAAATCTCTTTCGCACATCAATGTAACATTGCTGGCTGACAAATTCCTCCTACCGGCTTCAGTGTGATGGGCGGCCGCTGAAATAAGCTAACCACAAAGTTTTGCATGCCAGTTCATTCTAACTGGAAATAACCATTAGAATATCAAACTTCCTGACCAACTAGGTCTCAGTCCGTCTAGTCTATATTTTCGGTTAAGAATTATTTTTATTATATGTCTTAGTTACTACGCGCGCTGTGATTGGTCAATTTAACGAGCCGTATTCCACTGTGCGGCCCGCTAAAATTTAAAGCTGTTTTGATGCCAAAATGTTTCGTGATTTATCGCCAAGTGTTCTTAACTTTTATTGCTGGTAAAAGTTTAAAACTCCCCTTTTACTTTAAATTGTGTACTAACAACGATTTCAAATTGTCTCGTTTTGCCTTTGACGTGAGTCAGAAATTTAAAGCCCTTCCGTGTGAATAGAATAGCGTCCCCGAACCTGCCAGACACACAGTATTGATACAATAAATATCTTACCAACCTCGTCTTCTCCGTCCTTACTATAAGTTACGGATGCTCGTGTTTTCGCCTTCCACTTATGGCCAGCGCGCTACGCGCTTGGGCCGTAAACCGAAAGGGAAAAAAACTCGTTCCGTAACTTACAGTATGGACCGAGAAGACGAGGTTAGTAAAAGGTATTTATTGATATTCTCAGAAAGCAGAAACCAAAAGACGAATAACGCTATCCGGTGGATAAATGTGGACAAAACATTCTGCGCCATTTTCTTGAGAGCAATTTATCCGGTACACAGCCACTTCTAGGTGTTCAATTAGTTAAGGCGCAGCGCAAATAAATGCGCACAAAACCTGGGAGAAATGCGGCGCGGGAAGGTTTTGTTAGCGTTTGTTAGCGTTTGTTAGCGTTTGTTAGCGCTGTGACCTATTTAACTACACGCCTGAATGGAAAAGGCTTTCTTTTAAATAGCGTTAAGGGACGGACCATTAGAAAAGTGATAAGGGGGAGTGGGGAAGGGGGAAGGGAGAATTTTTCAACTTGCAGGAATTATTTCTCACGTCCACTGCCTCTGCAGGATTTTTTTTGGGAGGTCAAGTCCCATACACTTATCTTTTTTTTGGTGGGGGAGGGAATATTCTACTGCCGCAATCTTAATCTTGACGCTCGCCACAATCTGATGGCTTGGAACAAACTTCAAACAAATATTCTTTTTCGATCTTTCACACAATCGTTTTGCTTTACTGTGAAAATTATATTCCGGGGGAAAGATAACCAAACATCTGACACATTTAAGAGAGTCGTACAGGGGGGTCTTTTGCACGGTTCACGAACGGAAAAAAATAGCATTTTTGGTACGTTTTCCACGATTTTCAGCTGATAAATTTAATGTACCGATTGGAGTTGAATTATAATGCGTCATTTACTTTGTCAAAAACCTAAACTGGATTGAAATTGCTCATACTAAACGCATCAGATGTGTTATTAAAAACCTCACTGATAGTCTTTGATTATGACGTTTGTCAGACGTTGATCTTAACGGCCATCTTAGGGAAAGTGTTACGGTTCGTCATGGGTGTGCACATCTGTGCCCACAATCGTCATTTATACACATCAGTTGCGAAAAACACGGTATGTGCTTGCTTAATTGCCAACAAATCAAGCAGGATGGCTGTTTATAGAACATGGTTTTTTTTATCACTTTTAAGCTATGGTTATCCATGAGGGTTTTTCTGCAAGCAATTTTGGCTACAGTGTCCATGATGAGGTTGCTGGGCACAAAATGTATTAGCCTTGAAAGGGAAAAATGTCCGCTTTCATAATTGTAGAGAAAACCAGGTCAGTGGGGATTGCACCAGGACAAAGAAATTAAAACTGCAATATAAAGTGGCTGTCAAGTTGCCATTCAGGCGAGTACAGTTTGTAAGCCTGACAGTGCAATTCATTCTGCAGAAACTTTTTTCTTCATTTTTTCTTAGCACGATTTCCTTTTTCAGTCGCCCTCCCTTGCATGAATATTTTTCCCATCCCCCATCACTTTTCTAATGGTCCGTTCCTAACGTTATCGGCCACTTGATCAACCGACGGCGAGGTAATTTAATTTTGTTTTATTATTTGTTCAGAACAGACTCCTTCAACTGCATCCATTGTATTCGTCATATACATGGAGCGTGTCCAAAAATATCGCCTTTGAGGTTTCTAACAAGGCACTATAACGTCACATGTCGTTGAACTCACGCCATTATTCACAAAAAGCTGTCAGCTTGACCAGATTTATGATGTTTAAAAGCTATAAAGTGAAAACCAGTTTTCTACGCAGCTATAGAAAACCTCAACACTGACTCTGAAATAATCAAAACGGATCAAGAAAGCTAAAAATATCTTAAAAGTAAAAGTGACTTCAAGAAAGATGACAATTTTTTTTTCTAAGGAAATTCAAAATTACAAAAACATACCAGTCAAATTCGGGTACCAAAGAAATGTCAAGCTTGTTAACTGTTAACATGTCATCGAAATTGTATTTTTCTTAGTCTTTCGACCTTTTCCAGAGCGCTTGACCGGGCGCTTGGCTTGTTTTGGCCAGGATGGCCCCACCGGATGGCGGTGACAACGATTTAACGGACGAATTATGCGACATTATAAATTGCTTCGCCATATTCACACCTTATTCACCATTAATTCTATGGGATGTAAATGAACCCACATACTGATCGAAAAGAGTAGGGGATGTAGTTCCCGGTGTGGTGGTCTATCTCTCATCTGATGGTTAAATGCACGGAGATATTAGCAGCATAAGCTTCTCTGAAATCCGAGGGTAAATAAAGTAATGTATATATGTATATTTACGAAAAGGATGTGCGAGCAGGAATGCCTTCATTCGAAAAGAAAAATTCTTAGCCCACAGAAAATGAAGACGCTGAAAGCTTTGAAGGAAACTGTCAGGTGTGTTTACGGGCCATCTCATGGACACGAACAATCTTTTTCTTTCACTGATACGTGGGCAGAAGAAAACAAAACAAAACTGACCGTTTACAGAAAGTAACGTTATAATCATTTGTGCTTACTTATCTGCTACCCTTTGAGTCCTTTTGTGATCTTCTATGCGATGTCTATTTTTAAAAGGTTTCTGCGTTAATTATTAATTTAATAATTCAATAAATTAATAATTAACGCGGAAATGTCTTTGAAAAGTGAACGGGATCGGGATTTACAGGCTAAAAAGGGCGGGATGGCGGGATTAACAAGTAAAAATGGGCGGGAAAGCGGGATCTGAGAACCCTATTGTGGACCCTCTTAACAAGGACACACTGCCACGCTACTCACTATCACAGATTATAGTTCACCACAAAATTTTCTCAGATTCTTATTGGTTTAAATTGATCACGTAACGCGATCGGCTTGGGGGTCATCCGTTTACATGTTTTAAGAGCTGACTTTGCGTTTATGACTCTGAAATAAATGTAAAAGTGTGTTTTGACAGTTCTCTTTATTCTGTCTCTTCTCAAACTCCGTCAGTCTCTATCACGTTAGTCTGTCCACCGACCATCGATTTTGTCTGAGTTCGTCGAGATCGCAAGCAAAAGTGGCAACTGCAGGGGATTTGAAAGGCCCGCACGCCAGGGGGTGGCATATGTGGTAAGCACCTTTTAGGGGTTTGCTAAATGCATTTAGCGTCACCTTTCGGAATTTGAAGTAGCGATTTTAAAAAAATTTCCAGGGTGGGATTGCTCTGAATCTCTTTCGCACATCAATGTAACATTGCTGGCTGCACATGTACAAATTGCTCCTACAGGCTTCAGGGTGACAGGCGGCCGTTGAAATAAGCTAACTACAAAGTTTTGCATGTCAGTTCATTCTAACTGGAAATAACCATTAGAATATCAATCAATCAATATCAAATATCAAGCTGTTTTGATGCCAAAATGTTTCGTGATTTATCGCCAAGTGTTCTTAACTTTTATAGCTGGTAAAAGTTTAAAACTCCTTTTTTACTTTAAATTGTGCATTAAAACGTGCTAACAACCCAGCCACGATTTCAAATTGTCTCGTTTTGCCTTTGACGTGAGTCAGAAATTTAAAGCCCTTCCGTGAGAATAGAATAGCATCCCCGAACCTGCGAGACACACAGTATTGATACAATAAATATCTTACCAACCTCGTCGTCTCCGTCCTTACTGTAAGTTACGGATCCTCGTGTTTTCCCCTTCCACTTATGGCCAGCGCGCTTCGCGCTTGCGCCGTAAACCGAAAGGGAAAAAACTCGGTCCGTAACTTACAGTATGGCCCGAGAAGACGAGGTTAGTAAGAGGTATTTTATTGATATTCTCAGAAAGCAGAAACCAAAAGACGAATAACCCTATCCGGTGGATAAATGTGGACAAAACATGCTGCGCCATTTTCTTGAGAGCAATTTATCCGGCACATAGCCACTTCCAGGTGTTCCGTTAGTTGGGGCGCAGCGCAAATCAATGCGCACAAAAAAAGGGGAGACATTCGGCGCGGGAAGGCTTTGTTAGCGTTTGTTATCGTTTGTTAGCGCTGTAACCTATTTAACTACACGCTTGAATGGAAAAGGTTTTCCTTTAGATAGTATTAAGGGACGGACGAGTAGAAAAGTGATGGGGTGGGGAGGACTTTTTCAACTTGCAGGAATTATTTCCCACGTCCACTGCCTCTGCAGGATTTTTTTTGGGGGAGGTCAAGTCCCCTACACGAATTTTTTTTTGGGTGGGGGAGGCAATATTCTACTGCCG